GCACAGGTCTCATCACCACCATCGACTACCTGGACTATGAGACCAAGACGAGCTACCTGATGAACGTCTCAGCCACAGACCAGGCTCCACCCAACAACCAGGGCTTCTGCAGCGTGTACGTCAGCCTGCTGAATGAGCTGGATGAGGCTGTGCAATTCTCCAACAGCAGCTATGAGGCTGTCATCATGGAGAACATCCCGCTGGGATCCGAGGTGCTCCGTGTCCAGGCCCGCTCCATCGACAACCTCAACCAGATCACCTACAAGTTTGATCCCAACACCAACGCCCAGGCACTCTCTCTCTTCAAAATCAACGGCATCACTGTAAGCAGGCGCGGTGCTGTCCTTTGGGCTGGGCTGTCCCCAGTGCCTTGGGGCTGCTGGGAGGACATGACTCTTGGCCATTGGCAGGGGGTGATCACGGTGAAAGGCCAAGTGGATCGGGAGAAGGGAGATTTCTACACCTTGACGGTGGTGGCCGATGACGGAGGGCCAAAGGTGGACTCCACGGTGGTGAGTGGCTCCTCTCCCCTCCCTTGGCCAGGTTATCACACAGGTTTTTCATAATGCTGTAATCATGTTGGCTCTTTTTGTGCAAGATCTGCTGGGTCTGGCAGACCCATTTCCAGCCCAAAAAACAGGTTCTAAAAACCCAGATATGGGGGAAATCCTGCATTTGCATAAGCACAGACAGCTGAGTTTTAGCTTCTGTGTGTCACAGGATCAGACTTCTCATAACACATAAAACAAAACAAAAGAAAACAAAACAAAAGACATTAAAACACAGTCCTGTAGACTTTACAGATCACTTACCAAAATACACCGGTTCTCAGGTAGGTAAAACTTGGCTGGGGGAGCTTGAAATACTTTGCAGTGCTGAAGGGCAGCGTTATATTTGGCAGTTTCAGGGGCAGCTGAGTGGGGTGATTTGCATCTCCCTGCCGCAGAGGGTGGCTCTGTGGGCAGGGATAAAAGTGTGCTGGTTTGGGCCAGGTGGGCCCCACAGGAGTTTCAGAGCTGGAGGCATGCTCTGCATTCCAAGACCCCATATCTTGGGGCACCTGCTGCCTCTGAAGGCAGTGCTGGAGGAAAGAGGTGGCGAGGGGAGACCCTGCCCTGGTGGGCTGGGATGCTCCATATCCTACTAACTTGTTTTTTTGTTGTTTTCTCTGCTTCTCCTCCCACAGAAGGTAAGCACATGTGCCACACCACCATCACTGTCGGTGGCAGGACCTGTCCCAAGCACCAAGCTGCAGGTGGCATCTGCAGAGGAGCAGCTGCAGAATTCACCAGGCTCTCCCTGAATCTGATTCACCAACAACCACAGCAGCTCCATTCAGCCTCGCCACACCTGTGGCCGAAGGAAGCCATAAATAGAGTCCCGGGAACAGAACTGCTCTTCCTCTCCCACTCATGCAGATCTTCAATTGCAAAAGGCGATGAGAGCATTTCCTCCAATTAATGGTGGCTAAAGTAGCCCACTCCCTTGTCGCCTCCAGGATGGAAAATCCAGCAAGCTCGAAAGCATGATCTCTCTGGGTTTCTCCTGCTCTGCTGCCAAGGGTGAACCCACACCTCTAGCCTGCAGTATCTGTGTGCATTCCCCCATGTACCCCATGGGGACAAGACCCCAAATGTTTTGCTGGCACTTTTGGGGGATGGAGGTGCAAGGACTGAGGGCTTTCTGGGGGTCTTACCGGGGGGTCTCAATTCTGCCATGCCCACAGGTGACCATCACGGTCCTGGATGAGAATGACAACAGCCCACAGTTCGATATCACCTCCGATTCATCCGTCAGCGTTCCAGAGGACAGCGCGGTGGGCAGGAGGGTGGCTGTGGTCCTGGCTCGTGACCCTGACGCAGGCAGCAATGGGCAGGTGAGACAGTGCATCCTCCCCCAGCACCACTCCAGCCCCTTCCCCTGCCCTGTGTCCCCTTCATGCCAAGCATTGCATGAAGGCTGTGGGTGAGGCCGGGGGAGTTTGCTTCGGGGTGGCTGAATACCCCTGACACACACCACACTACGCCTTTGAAGATGCTCTGAGACATCCCAAGGTGCTGCTGGGTTTACTCCAGTAGGGGATCTCCGAGTCACATCAGCTGCTGATGATTTTCCTCTGTCTGCTGGCCGCTTCCAGGTGACATTCTCACTGACAGCAGGGAATGTGGGGCAGGCGTTTGAGATCCGCACCACTAACAACACCTATGGAGAGGTGCTCGTGGCTCGGCCGCTGGACCGGGAGCTGCTCGATCACTACACCCTGCGGGTGAGCCGAGCCCTGCCATGCTCCCCTGCCCTTTGTGCTTAGAAATGGCATTTTGGAGAAAAATTGCCTACCACCACAGATCCAAGCTTCGGATGGTGGCGTGCCCCCCCGGAGGAAAGAGCACACCCTGCGGGTCACCATCCTTGACGTCAACGACAACCCGCCCGTCATCGATAGTCCCTTTGGCTACAATGTGAGCGTGAGTGAGGTGAGCACCCGAGGTGAGGTGGCTCTGAGGGAGCTGGATAATTAAGCAATAAAACACAACCAGGCATGAAAAAAAGACAACTTATTTCCTGCAGGTTTAATTCCTGGGCCATGGGTTCTCCATTTGAGGGTGAAAAATGAAATATAAGTGATAGTCAGTGACACTCGGATGCGTGGGAGTGCTGCTCGTGATGAATAGTTTCGCATTAACATTATTGCCCTGTTAGGATTTCCTTATCTCTGTAATGCATGGTTGAAGCTGGTCGAAGAACAGAATTTCTCTTTTGATTTCCCCTGTAATGGGTCCATCTAGCAATAATTAGCTGAGCTCTGAGTGCATTACACAGCCTCCACCTTCAGGTTTTACACTTAAAGAGCCCAGATAGTGCCAAATGCATGGCTGGAAACTCAAGGGCTTCATCCCAACACGCTGGCCGAGGTGTACAGCCTCTGCTTTGCTGGGTGCCGGGATGAAGTTTGGAGCCTAGAGCAGCACAGTGCCTGGGAAATCCCACTTTATATTAGAATGATGTTACCAATATCATGAATGATGTCTTTTCTATGTCGTATCGTGCCTCTTTGTGTGTACACCTGCAGAACGTCGGTGGGGGCACAGCAGTGGTCCAGGTGCGCGCCACCGACCGGGATGCCGGCCTCAACAGCGTCCTGTCCTACTACATTACCCGCGGGAACGAGGATCTCACCTTCCGCATGGACCGAGTCACCGGCGAGATCGCTACACGGCCCTCCCCACCAGACCGTGAGCGGCAGAGCTCCTACTGCCTGCTGGTCACTGTGGAGGACGAGGGCAACCCCTCACTGTCGGTGAGCCGCTGGGGTGCGGGTCTGGGGGCTGAGCACCGGGATGCTGCATGGGGATGGATACAGGAGGGGGTGGATGCGAAGTTCTGTGGTGATGCTTTGACGGTTTGGCCATACGTTAGCGTGTTGCTTCAGGTTGTGCTTTGGAGTCCATCCTTGGCACATGTGATGCCTTGGACCCTTTCTGGTTGCTTTGAGGTGTTTTCAGAGGTGCCGCCTCATCACTGCTTTCAGCACATGCCCTCGATTGTGTCTCATGCGCTGTGTTTCATACCCCCAACTCTGCTCTGAAGTGGTTTAAGCAGAAGTTCTGAGCTCTTTCATATCTCAGCTGAAAACTCCAAGCATCCCCATGGGCAAGCAGGGGTTGTCCTGCCCACCGGCTCACACCAAAACAGAGAATTGTCTCAGGATGCTGAACCCAGCATGATGCAGGAACGAACACCCATATGCAAGTGTACATTGCTCCCAGCACAGCATGACCTCGCTGCCATCTCGCCCTGCCTCCACCTCGCCCTTATCTCTCCCCATCTCACGCATCTTCTGGCAGCATGCCGGCTGCAAAGCCCTGCTCTACATTTGGAGGAAACTTGCTGCAAGCAGCAGCACAGGTTACAGCTTGCAAATCCTCACACTTCTAGCCACCCAGTGGCTTGCACGCCTCTTTGTGTCTTTTTCTTAAGCCGGACTATGGGTTAAACCTTCCTCCTCATAAAGGCACAGCCTTTCCTTGATGGCTTTGTGCCACTGAGGCTGGACAGCCTTCTGCATTATGAATTACTGTGCATAGACAGGTTTTTCTTGCATGGCTCCAGCTGTTTTAGTGCCCTAGGACTGCTCAGTTTTGCAGTGAAGGTGATACCAGTGCAGCTGCATGCAGAGCCAGAAAATCCACCAGCACTCTGCAGACAACCTATCTAACTCCCTAGCTTAAAAAAAAAAAAAAAAAAAATCCTTTTTTTTACATTTTAATCAGCACTGATAATGGCACAAACAGAAAGATGAGTCCTACTGCTCTGAAGCTGAGTACAGAATCACAGCACAAGCAGCCCTCTGGCTGCAGGCTGTGCCAGCAAGCAGTGGGGCAGGAGGGCTGCGGCAGGAGTGAGCCTCTCCCCTTCCTGTTTTGCAAAGAAACCCTTCGTGTAAAGTTGGCCAGTGCCTCTGTTTTGTCTCGCGGTGCTTCGAATACTTTACCATATGCTCCTGGAAAGGATATGCTGTCCAAGCGAGCAGGATGGGTGAGCACCACGCAGGTGGAGCCCCTGACAATAAGTTAAGTACTGGGGGAAGCAGGCAGGAGGAGCTGGAGATGCAACTCCTGGGGCCCAGAGCTGCTCTTCCTTCCATCCTCTGGGATTTAGGCACAAGGTGAGATCCACAATGAAATGTCAATAGCATACATCCTCATACAGGCTGCGCACAATCGTCCCTCTCTGTGCTCTTTGCCACAAAAATAGGCAGTAAAACCCAAAGCCTGAGCAAGAGAGATCACTGGGACAGGAGAAACGGGCAAGACTCCTGGGCTTGACTTGATTTTTTTAAGGCACTTTGCTGTTGTTTGGTTGTATTGGCATCCTCCCCTTTTCTATTGTCTGGTGCATAATGACAACTGAGATCAGGCTCTTTCCATTGTCCTCTCTTCAGTGTTCCTCCTTGTAATGTGAGGGAAAACCAGCAGCTGCTGTCCAGGCACTGGGGAGAGGAAGGTGTGGAGGTCTTTATTCTATTTATTTTTAATTTTCCTGCTGGGGGTGGTTGGGTGGGAGCTGCTGCCCGCTCTGGCCGCATCCCCTCCTGCACAGCCACAACACAGTGCCCTCCTCCGTTGCATTGGCCATGGGGCTCTTCAGGCTTTTAAGGAATTTGGTGAATCAGGAACAGGGTCTGGAAAAGGGGGCAGGCAGCAGGTGTTAGTGCACCAAGCATTCAGCAGGGCAGTCATCCATGCGTTCCCACAGCAGCCGCAAACAGAGTAGATGTGAGGATACTCACCCAGAGTGGGAAAGAAGCACTCCCCAGGGCCTGGTGGGGACAGCGGGGTGCTGGGCTCGGACAGCAGGTGCCGGCCAGACTCAGAGAGCTGCCGTCCACCCAGGTAGGAGAGCTGGGGTCGGGGCCGCTGCTCAGCACTGCTCACAGGGAGCGCCTCGAAGACAGGATTCTCAATGCCCTGGGCACTGCTGCAGGAGAAGAGAGGGAATGAGGGATGCTACAGGGTCTCCTTATTGCAAAGCCTTCCAGCACGTTGCTTTCGGCACTGACAACGTGCATCTCTTTGAACTGAGGATGCTCTGTGCGGGGAGGGCGCGGAGCACAGAGGCACAGTTGTGCGGAGAGGGGCCAGAGGATACAGACACTCATTTTATTGCCCTCCTGCAAGGCTTGGCAGGGTGCAGCTGATGGCTCCCTGTGCGAGCATTGCATGACTAAAATCCCTCCAGCCCTGCCTTAGGGCTGACAGCCAGCTCTGATGCTCTGGCTAGGGGGCTGTGGTTCTTTGTGGAAGCACCTGGCTGTGTGGGATGATGGAGCCACGAAGATCCTACTTTTGCTGAAAAGTTTCATTCTCATCTATTCCCTTCTCTGAAAGATGTCCTTTTTGTAAATCTGGAAGGGAGCTGAGGTTACACTGCTTTGGCAGCATTCTGCCACAGGTGATCTGCATTTGTATTTCAGGGTCCTGTTTCACACTGGTGGCTCAGGGCACAGGAAATGACAGAATGGGTTTGACCTCAGCTGCACCCCAATGGGAGGCTGAGCAGGACAGGGTGGTTTTTGGGGTGCTGGGGATATGGGAAAGCACATGCTTACCTCTCCATTCGGACCAGCTCGTGAGCACCTGCCAAAGGCAAAACAGCATCAGCATCACCTGCCTGCACCCAGCATCATACCCATCCTGTGGCAGCCCCCTGCTCAACTGTTCCAGCAACCCCCCCCCCCACCCCTAGCTCTGGGACTTTGCCTCCCCCCTGCACACCCTTCTGTGGGTGTGTATTTTGCAATATTGTGGGTTGGCTGTGCTCGTTTCATCATGGCTGAGGATGGATGTTGAAAGCATGGTTCCTGTCCTCATGCTGGCATTGCTCCACTGCTGCTGCAAAAGCCACTTCTCCAAGGGCTTCCATTGGAGCCCTTTCACTGCCCAGTGGCTTAGTGAGCAAAACTACATGCCCCATGGTGTCCCAGAATGGGTCCCCCTGGTCCCTGGATGGGGAGCACCCAGATGTACGTACGTCTGTGGCTGACCGCTTGCCGCTGCTTGTAAATCAAGAGCAAGATGAGGGGCAGGCAGAGGATGCCCACGATGCAGGCGCCCGTTGCCAGCGCAGCGGCTGTGATATCTGCAATAGCAGAGCACCAGAGTAAGGTTGGATCTCACACCAGTTTTAGCAAAATGGATTTATCAACCAGCAAGAGGGGCAGACAGAGTGACTGCACAGCTGCACCAGCTCTGAGGGCTGCAGGATGGGTGTACCTGGGTTGCTGCATGCCTGGAGCGAGCACCCAGCCCTCAGACAGCATGTGAGCTGGGAGAGCATGCACTACATAGGGAAGAGGTGTTCTCTTTCTTCGTTTACCTTTGCTGGTAGCAGTGTGAAAGGTGCAGTTCTGAAGTGCTCCTCTGCCTACGAAGGAGAAGACCAAACTACATAAGACCTCGGGAGCTACTTCAAGTAGCATCTACCAGCTTCCCTTTGCCCAATGAGCTTGAGAAAATCAGATAAATGGAATCACAGAATCATTCAGGTTGGAAAAGCCTTCTCAGCTCATTCAGCCCACCCCCACCTGTCCATCATCCACATCCCTCAGTGCCATATCTTCATGGCTCTGCAACACCTCCAGGACAGTCACTCCCCCACCTCCCTGGGCAGCCTGTGCCACTGCATCACCACTCCTTCAAAGCAGTGGCATCATGGGATCCATCCCCACGCCAGGAGCCAGCCCTTCCCGAAAGCCAGACCAGAGCCAGAACAGCGCCAGCAGCTCCTTTGCCTGGCCCCGCAGCCTCTTATACTAGGATTTGTTTTCCTTTTCTCCTGCAAAAGGTCAAAGAAGATCACTGAAACTATGTAACACACTTCTAATTGTGTCTTCCTGCTTCCGCTGATATATTTTTCCTTTTTTTTTCCAATTGGGTTGTTTCTATGCTCCCCATTCCTCCTTCAACCCTTTGACATCTGCTGCTCTCCAGCCCCCATACCCCAGTGCACGCCACCTGGGGCATCCCATGCCTCTGCATCCCTGCTCACCCCTCTGGATCTGGAGCTCTACGAAGCCGTGAGCTACATGCAGGGTATGGACCTTCCCGTGCTCCCGCCGTGTCTCCATGGCATAGCAGCAGTAATTCCCGCTGTCCTGCATTGTCAGGTTCATCACCACAATGTGGAAAGCCCCATGATGGTCAGGGACAAACTCCACACCACGGTGACCACCTGGTGATCCATGGGGGAACCTCGCAGTGCTGTTGGCAGAGGTGCCGTGGTGCCGGCCGGAATCGTGGCGCAGCTCCTTCTCAGTCAGGTTGCGAATGTGTCGCTTCTCAGAGCAGCTCTGGTCACCGTTGTTGCTGAAGTACCAGGTTTTGAAGATCAGGTCGTGGTGGTCGGTGAGTGGTCCACTCACTTGGCAGCTCAGGGTGACGTTCTGGCCCTCAGGGCAGATGCAGAGCGTGTATGGGGCCGTCACCAGGAATGCTGCTGTCCCTCCTGCCAGCAGGAGAACAGGGTCACCGTGAGGATGCAAGGGGCATCACCCACAGGGACCCGAGTGTGGGCATCTGCTATGGCATGGTGATGGCCAGGAGTCCTTCTCTCCTGTGATACGAAATTTGAGGCTTGGGAAGATGCTGAATATCCTAAAAAGGGGGGAGATGGGAAACAGAACCTGCCCTTCTTCTGTAGCTCCAAGCATACTTGAAAGTAAGCACTGAGCATCCTGTAACAGCAGCAGGTGGCCTGAAGGTTGTGGGGCACAGCTCAGGTGGGGAGCACACTGTGGGGCAGCAGGTGGAGGTCTGGGCTAAGGGGCAGTGGAGCCCTGCAAAGGGTACAAAGGGAGCCGGAGGGGAAGCGGGGGAGGGGAAATGGCTGGCAAATGAGGAAATACGAGTATCTTGGTCTGGTTGCATCGCACTCTGCTGCTCCTGTTTCCCCATAGCTTGTGTCGACAGCTGGTTAATAGGGGGAAAAGAAAAAAAAAATAGTAGGAGAAAAAATAAGGAGAAGAAAACAAAAAAAAAAAAAAAAAGAGAGAGAGAGAAAAGACATAGGAGGAGGCCATGCCCCTGAGAAGAGGCGGGGAGAGGGTCCCACCCTGCTTGTTTTTCAGTGCTGCAGAGCAGAAGGGGAACTGGCTGCTGCAAGGAGCCTGAAACCAAAACTGCTCACAGAAATTCCTCCTCTGCTCAGCCAGGGGCACGTGAGGGGCTGGAGAATTGCACCTTGGGTTTTGGTTTTTTTTTGAGGTTCTCAGGGATGTTTAGAGAAGAGGGCATTAGGACAGCATGCTCTTGCATCTCAATAACATCCTGTTGTTCCATCACTCTGTGCCGTTTTGCTTCGAGGTTTTTTCACTTGCTATATTGAGCAGGCTGCAAGAAGCCACGGGTGTGCCAAGTGTCCCACAGGTCACCCTCCAGCTGAGACAGAGCTCCCATCACCTCCATCCCAACTGAGCACCTTCCACAATGCAGGGCTTCTACCATCACCTTGCTGAGAGAGCGAAAGTGAAAATGCTCCATGTGCTGCTCCTACCCCACTTAAGCCATGTGCCCCACAGCGAGCCCCACAGCCTGCCATCGGCACAAAGGCACCTCCAAGGAGGCCATGCTACCTGCACCACGGGAAGTGCCCCATTCACAACACGGCCCCAGGAGCCCGGAGAAGGGAAGTTGGGGCTCTATTGGAGGAAGTGTCTGCCACAGCCTTTGTTTTCCCAAAAAAAAAGAGCGGCCGTCCCTCTCATCCCCACTGGCTTGGTTTGGGAGCCTGTGCCCTAGTTGTGTTTTGCCCTGGTGGCAAAGGGAGTATCTAGGCACTGGGTTGCTTTGGAGGTCCATGCCCAGCAAAAGCGGTCCAGGGATGCTGGGAGCAACTGGGATGGAAACTCAGTGCTTCCCCATGGCAAAATGTTAAGTGAGAGCATTTGTACCAAGTAGTCTCATGCAGCCATGCCACGAGGCTGTTGTCATCATGCTGTCATTGTGCTTTGGAGCTCTCGGCTGAGCATAGGGCTGCACCTACCTTGGCACAAGTCTTTGCAGCAAGGAGGAATAAGGAAAGAAAGAAAGAGGATGCAGGAAAAAAAGCAGTGTTCTTGGCCCTTATCTCCCATGGAGCCAAATGGCTCTAGTACATGGGAGCTGGGGGGCAGTCCCTGATATGTGGTGTCCATCCCAGGGACAGCATCAGGGAGCTGCTTTGACCTGCTGCCAATGCAAACCTGTGTGGCTTTGCCCTTTTGTTTTCTTTCCCAGAAAAACTCAAAGCAAAACTGCAGTGGTGGCACGTGGCAAACCACCAGCTTCCTTGCTTGCCCCCAGCTGCTGCAGGTCACAGCTCAGCCCCAGACCAGGGACGGGGCCACAGCACCAGGTTTCTGCTTGGGTTATGAGTTTGGAAATTGGGATTCTGCCTTCCCCATGGAGGAGAGGGGCTGATCCGAGGCATCATCCATGGCGCTACCATCCTAAAACTGTGTAGGAGCTGGATGTCTCCAAGAGCTCCACTTCTCAATCCAGCCCAGCTAACATTAGCTGGGCTGTGGAAAGTTTTGGCGGGCATGCTGTTGCAAGAAGTTCCATTCTTTTGGCACTGGGCTAACACTGAGCATCCAAGGTTGTATAAAGAGGGCAGAAAGAAGCACCAAGAGCAGACAAACCTCTGCGTGCACAACCCTGCCGGAGCTCCTTCCCCAGCCCCAGATGTGTCCTTTCAGTATTGCCCATAGCACACCCCAGATGCAGGAAAGCTGTGGCTGGGGTGCAAAAAACAAATGTGCCTTCTCCCTTGTTTTTAAGCACACCTCTGCAGGCAGCAGCCAGCCTTTGCAGCTGGGCACCATTTCTTTCTGGGGATGTGCCAGCAGAAACGTGTGTTGTTCTGAGATAGAAGGAGAAGGTGAGCCCAGTACGGAGCCACTTGGCACATCACTTGCGTGCATGCACAAATGCTGCACGGTGATTACAGTAGAGCGGAGCATCTGTGCAGAGAGCAGCTCCAACACACTGCCTGCGTGCATTGCGGACAGCGGGCTTCCCGGCCCGGCTGAGCTCAGGGTGCCGGCGGGGGGCTGCCTTCGTGCTGCACGCGTCCCATCACAGTAAAGGAAGAAGGATGAAAAACAAACAGCTGGCGAGCAAAGGTTTACAACAGCCACTGCCCCATGGCCCCGTTTTCCCATCGCCTGAAACTCCGCGTCTGGAGGCAATGCTTATCCCCTCTGCCCCAAAATCCCGAGGAAGTTAAGAACCCCCCAGTCCCTCACCCCGGTAGGGCAGCCCGCGGTGCTGGAGAAGAGGAGAAGGAGCGTGGCTTACCGTGGGAGGCGAGGAAGGAGAGCAGCCCCAGCAGCAGCTTCAGCGGCGCTCCTCGGGGGTCCTCCATCGCCGCACAGCCCCGGAGCAGCGCAGCGCAGCCCCGCCGCGCCCGCCTGAGCCGTGCACGCAGGAAATTTCGTTCTAGCCGGGGAGAGAAGAAGTGCGAGCACCCCCAGGAGGCCAGATGGGGCACAGAGCGGTGCCCAGTCCTGCCCGATTCACTTCAGCAGAACGCACACCTCGCTTGGAGTTCGTTTCTCTGCCGTGAGAGGGGTGGGCAGGTAGCCAACGGCTTGACCAGGCTGGTGCTGTAGAAGGGATGAGCAGGAGGGGGGAAAAAAGGGCAACTCAGGGAGATGCCATACCCCATAGCACATCCTCTCCAGAGCATCACTTGTGAACATCCTGAGCACCACATTGCTTCAAGCATCTTGGTGAGGAGGGTGTGATGCGGTTGTGGCTTCACAGTAGATGCTTCCACAAAGCTTTTATCAGAAATGTAACCCTTGTCTGGTAGAGAAGAAATTATCATTGGGTGAAGGTGTTTGGAGGGTTTTTTTGTGACAGTCGTGACCTCAGAGGGAGTTGCAGCCAGGCTGGCTGCAGTATGGGCAGATCTTGTGTGCAAACCTCTGTCCTGGAATCAGTGTCCCACGTCCCACCCCAACAGGACAAGTGGAGCAGTTGGCATTGGTAGGGCAGACCCCAGCCATCCTGCTGCCCAGAAACATCTCATTTGCTCCTCATCCCCTTCCAAAAAAATTTCTCATCCATCCCAAGACTCTGCTGGAGGTGTCCTACCACCATCTGAGCCATTAGGCATGGTGGCATACTCTTGTCACCTCCCTACTCCCAGCTGTGTGTCCATGGGTGACATGACCAGAGAACATGGGTTGTCTGAAATGCTCATTTTTGTTCTTCCTCTAAGCCATAGCAGAAGCAGTTCTGCGTATTTTCCATCTTAGTAATCGTTACCAAGGTGTCCCCAGTGTCACAGTGGGAACCTGCTAAGACCTACTCACAGGCAGCAAGGCACAGTGGGGTTCAGTGTCTGGCTTTTTCTCTGCCACGGGCTTCTGCCTGGAGTTAGCAGCAATGGGAAAAAGCAGGAGAAACTGAGATGTTACTGAGATGTGTTGTGCTTGAAACAAGGTTGAGATTTAATATATGCATGCTTTAACTCTGTACCTAATTCCTAACCACTACTAAATGTTGCCTTGTGCTGGAGGTGTTCCTACAGCCCCACATCACTTTGGTTTAGGGCAATGCTTCATGCATCCTGCTTGCAGCTCTCGGCAGGGCTAACCGCACATTGCTCAATGACCCAGGCAGGTCAAGCTTTGCTCACCACGGGCCTTAACATGCTGTCCCCATGTACCACAGGCCACCACCACGGTGTTCGTCACCATCCTGGACGAGAATGACAATGCTCCAGTGTTCCAGCAGCAGCTGTACGAGGTGACGTTGGATGAGGGCCCTGCCACTCTCAATGCCACACTCGTCACCGTGCAGGCCCTGGACCGGGACGAAGGGCCCAATGGCACGGTGACATATGCTATCACTGAAGGCAACATCTTGGGCACTTTCCACATCAACAGCACCACGGTCAGTCAGGATGCTATCTAGGATGCTGTCCGCAGCTCAGCCATACCCTCCTCCTGTGACCTTCACTCCCAGCCGCTGTCCCCTTGCCTTGCAGGGACAGATCCGCACCCTGAAGGAGCTGGACTACGAGATCAGCCACGGGCGCTACACCTTGGTGGTCACTGCCACTGACCAGTGCCCCATCGCCTCGCGCCGGCTGACATCAACCACCACGGTAGGATTGCGACACTGTAGTGTCTTTGGGGTCCAGGAGTTCTCCTCCATAGCATAAATGCTAAATCATGGCCTGAAACAGTGATTGAGCACCTGGGGAAGGCAGGGCCAATCCAGCAGTGCACCTAATTGACCAGAAGGGGTGGAGTCATGATCCACCCCTTCCCAGACCTCATTTAAGGGGTGGCAGTGGAAGTGAGGGCATCTCTTGCTGGAGATCCCTGCCTACCTGAGGCCTTCCAAAGGTAAGCAGCTCTTTTCCTTCATTTCTGTGTCTGCCGCATTTGGGCTTGTTCTCCTTTGCTGTAGCCAAAGACTTTGCCATCCTGCTACTATCGTGGTACTTTCCACCCCACTGTAGCATTATATCCTCTCACGGGTGGTTTCACATCTCCTTCCTAGTGCTCACCAGACACTCTTCCCAGTTGGCCCAGTTGCTGTTTCGCCTTGGGGTTGCAAAACAGAGTGCTCAAGGTTGGGCTCAGCCACCATTATTCATCTGCTTTCCAAATTCCTGTTTCATTCCGTGTAGGGAGGTTACTGAGAGCATTTCATTCCTTTTTTTTTGCAATGTCCTAAACTTTGTGTTCTGCTCCAAGATCAGTCAGGCTCTGCTCGGGGAAGGGAGGGTAGGCTAGCAGTTCCAAAGCACATGTTTTGCACAAATTGAACACATTGATTACTTCTGTGGATGAAATCAAAATGTGATTTTGATTTTTGTATGGTGTTGTCCATGTCCAAAGTGATTTTGGAGCCTGCAGGGCAGGACAGGGGAGGCAGCAGCTCTTGGAGTGCTGCAGGCAAAGGCAGAGCTTTCCCTTGACCACAGTGAGACATGAATTTGGAAGCTCTATCAGCAACAAGGACCAGGGCTAGACAGGAGAGGAAGCATCCTCCGCATGCCGCCCACATAGCTCTGCCAGTACATTTTTGAAAGCAGAGCTTTTAGAAGAAGATTTAGTGATTATTTTGGATCACAAGTGATGGGAAATCCATCTCCCTGATAAGGCATGCCAGTATTTGTTTTCTCTGCTGCTAGGAAACGGAGCAGGCACTCAGATATAGTCCTCAAGGACTAGATTTAGCCAGTACCAAATGTCCATCTGACAAACCTTATGACCCTCAATCCAGGAGATCAAAAAGCATCTCCTGTTTAGCATCTTCTTCATAGCCATCCATAAAACCCATATGGCCAGCTAGAAGGAGGAGCCTCTTCTAGTGCTCCATAAGCTCAACCTTTCACCAGCCACCAGAGACTCTCTCCTCAGACAGGCGTTCTCTGCCATGCAAGTGCCCAGAAGGGCTTAACTCTCTCTGTGATATAATGAAATACAGATATATAAACAAGTTTTGTGGATGGTGACTCAGTTAAAAGGCCAAATGCCTGAAAGACCCAAGCTCAGCTATGCTCTACTATGTCCCGAAACTGTTGATGCTTTTTTGAGACTGTAGGCTCACTGATGTCCAGCCAGCTAAATGTGTCATGGAAAGGGATGGTAAGCCAACTGCGTTGGTGTTGTTTTGTGTTTGAATAAGCATGCAATCTGCAAATTTTTTCTTATTTGCTCATCATGAGAGGTGAAGCCCTTGATTGTCCAGGAGGAAAAGGAGTGAGAAAGCCTTTCAGCGCACCAGAGAGCAGCTGCCTGCAGAGAACAGCTCTCTGTGAACTCATTTCTTTTGTGGACAAGCATGTTTCTCTCATGTTTTCAATCCAACTTGGAATTGTCAGGGTGTGAATGTGGAGTTTTCCACCAGTAGCCCCATCCACCAGTGGGCACAGGGTCAGTCCCCTCTCCCAGCCCTCTCACCCTCTTCCCTCTCCTGCAGGTGCTGGTGAATCTCAATGACATAAATGACAACTGTCCCACCTTCCCACGGCCCTACGAAGGCCCCTTTGATGTGACAGAGGGACAGCCTGGCCCCCGCATCTGGACCTTCCTGGCCCACGATGGGGACTCGGGGCCCGGTGGGCAGGTGGAGTACAGCATCATCGCTGGGGACCCTCTGGGTGAGCAGGGACGTGGGGTGCTAGCTCCTAAATTTTGTGCTAGAGGCAGTGGTACGGCCCCATCCCTCTTGCCCTGCTCTACAGGGGAACGTGGGATGCAGCCCATGCTTACGGAAAGGATGGGCTCGCCTTCCTTTTTTGCTTTATTTTGTGGTTTTTTGAAGCATAGCCTTGCCACCAGGCAGGGAGGGGGGTGGGTGGAGGAGTTGCGGAGTGCAGGCGGAAGCCTTTCAGAAAAGCCATCCTCCCAGCTGGCTGCTTCTGCAAATTCTGCCTTTCGACACCAGGAAATCCTGTTTTGAGCAACAGGAAATTTAACCTGTTAATGGCCAAGGATGGGGGCCTGGTCTTGTGCAAGCCCAACTTGGGGGAGAGGGGGTGGAGGGAGGAATCTGCTGAACGACAAATGCAACAAAATAAATAGCACAGAAAGAGAAACAGAGAAATGTAAGCATAGAGCAGCATTGCAGGATGCGTTGCGGTCTGAATGTCCCTGTAACTCATGGCAAAGCTGCAGCCCCAGAGCAGATGGCAGAGCAGCTGTGAGTGTCTCCGGCTGTGTGGCAGCTGAGGGGATGTAGCTACAGCTGTCACCATCCCCCTCACTACCCCCAGAGTGGCTGGTGATGGCAGCCAAGGCTTTCTGGAAGGCAGAGCCCAGTCCCATCTACCAGCTGACCCTGGCTGCAAAACATCTCCAGAACAACTGAGAAGCGGCTCCTTGGCTTTGGGCCCATCCATGCCATGCAGGCCCCCTGCCCAGTCACAAACAGGTGCTTGGAGGGCTTTTGGCATCTTCAGAAAGGACTGTGAGCACCTTTCTTCTGCCATTCAGTCCCCCTACCCAGCTCCTCCTCTCCTGGCGTGGGCATTGGGTCCTGGGATAGACCCTGCTACCCTGTTCCCCTGGCAATGGGACTGTCCCCAAGCCCACAAAGCACACCCCTCCCTGTGCCCAGAGCCAACCTCAGAACCAGGGTGCGTGTCCCCTGTCCCCTTGGGTGGCACAGTGCAAGCCATGGCCCTGCCGTCTCTGGCAGGGGAGTTTGTGATCTCCCCAGTGGAGGGGGAGCTGCGGGTGCGGAAGGATGCTGAGCTGGACCGTGAGAACATCCCCTTCTACAACCTCACTATCTCCGCCCGGGACCGGGGTGTGCCCCCACTCAGCTCCACGGTGAGTCCACAGGGACCCACAGTGACCAGCGAGCCACCATCTTGTGTCCCCAACACCTTCCTGCTGGAAGGAGATGGGAGGAATAGACATAAGCGCTCCCTATCAGAGCCTGTACCTCTTCTCTGCCCCTGCAGATGCT